TATTTCATTGTTTCCACAGACACAGAGTCAGGTAAGTGCTGTCTTTACTGCAGTCCACAATGTACACAGATATCACTCCTGTTTCTCTCCTCCTTACAATATGAACCTGAGAATGAGCATAATATGACATCTTTAACCTCAAAAGTAATCAGAGTAATTCTGAATGTAGTGCTTCATTTGACAGGATGCCATTCTAACAAATAATGAACTCATTCATCATCCCAGAGCACACTGATAGACGACTACTGAAAGGTAGTTTTATTCACTTGTTTGCAATCTGTAACTTCACCACTAGATGGCACTGAATCCTCCACAGCGGTCCTTTAAATAACCCTGGATCCTCGTATTTCTGGAGAATATTCTTACTAATAATACTGTTTGTTTACTGTTGTGCAACAGTTTTGGTGGGATGGACTCCAAGTACACATTGAGACCATGAACAGGAGAAGTGGCTGTGGAAATATTGTTGATGGATGTTATCTTGGAACAGTGAAGAACAAATCTCAACGTCTTTCCTCTGTTCTTTCAGGTGGTGACACTGGTTTGAACCCCGGTGCTATAATTGGCATGGCTGTATACATCTCAGTATGTTTTCTGTCACTGCCCCTGTTGTTCCATGTAGTTACCTGGCTGTATGAAAGAAACTTGGAAAGATCAGTAAGTCAATAACCCAACCCTAACCCTAACCCTGTTTAAAAAGTCAGTCTTCAAACAACAGTGAACAGTGAAACAGGTTTTTCTTGCTGTAATGGTTCCTCCTGTTATACTGGACATTAAAGATCTCTTCCTAAAGTACTTTCAATGGAAGTGATGAGGGGAACAATCTACAGTCCTCCTTACATGGAAACATGTTTTCAGAAGTGTATCTAAAGCTAATATCAGCTAATATGTGTTTATAACTCCATCATTTATTTAGAAATCATTTATTGGGGGGTCTGCACCCTGCCTCTCATGTACAGTGTGTCTGAGCTTTCTCACTATCCTGCTTTCTGATTATGATGGTTGATCTGGGACAAGCTCCTTTACTTGTAGTTCCTCACAACAAGTGTCTTCACTCCACTGCTGACTGACTCTGCTTGGGCTGATAAAATAATCGCCCTTTTCACATCCTATTCTCACTTTTCCTCTAAACTCAACCCAGAGCGCTCAAACTACAGAAAACACTCAGTTTGGAAAACACTGACTGAGAACTTATAACCTTTTCACATCCTATTCTCACTTTTCAGCTTTATTCTTTGCTGATGATGCTACTCTGCTGCATGAGACTGTGTTGAATCCTGCAATTTAATCACATTTTCCACAGAGCTTTAACCAAGTGGTTTTAATGTCTAAACTTAAATGTGTTGTTCAGAGTGGTCAAAAAACAGAAAATGCTCATGGGACATTTTGGATGGCACTGACTAATAACTTGTTTTGTGTCTAACAGCGACGGACTGTGCAAGACCAAACACGACAGCAAGCAACGCGCAGAACAAGGAAGGTAGTCAGGACAGGGAAGAGGAACTTAAGGAAGACCAACTAATACTTGATAACTTTTGATTCCTTGACCCAGCTACTGAATGAAAGAAAGGCTTTTATTTCATCCACATATTTTTATTTATATATACATATTATGACTGTGCTGCTTTGTTTTTGTGTATTGTGTTTTAATACTTACTGTTCTACTACTATACTGCATTTCATATGCAGTATATCATGTATATTATATAACAATTATACAATTATACAACTTTTTGATTTGCTTAAATATTCACAACTAAAATCAAAGATCCAGACTGTAGGAGGCTGAAACTGTGATTGTTATTAATTATAATACAATAAAAAGAATTAAAAGATGTTTAACTTGTAGCTGACATTTTCCTCTTATTTGAATCTTTAAGTTTATTGCAGCTGACTGATTGTCATCTTTCATTTTATTTCCGTGATGTAGAACATTAATCAAAGTCAGTATGAGTTGTCATAACTTTATTGTGTATAACTCTTGGTAATAAATATTAGAATATTTAAATAATTATTGTTAAATTCCTTTTTTAAGAAACAAAAAAAAGAGGAAAACACAAAAACTCCTAAATTGCCATGTGAAAAACAGTTATTTAAAAATTGATGAAGACAAAAGTTCTCAAAAGTGTGAGGGAGGATTGGTGCCAAATAAAATAATGATAATAGAACAAAACAGGGCCTAAAGCACCAACTGCCACTGTAAAGACAATACAAACAAAAGGCTCAGCTGTCTTATCTATGGAAACAACTTCTCCAAAACATTCAATGATGGCACCAACCAATAACTAATTTAATTAAAAAGCAGCCAAACAGAAACGTCAAACAATAGGATAAGCCCTTTCATTAATTTAGTTCCAACTGAAAACCAGAGATGCCTGTAGACCTGCGGAATCCCTACTTACCTCATGTAGATATGTTGTTGGAAAGTCTTTTCCCTGAGAGTAATGCTGGCCATATTGGACCCACATGCTGTTCCAGAGTTGAGGAAAGTAGCCTGAGCCTTGTCATCGCTTTGGATGCCAACAAGGTGCTCCTGGATAGTGGGCTCACATTCGACCAAGTCCACCTGAAAGGGCTGCACCACCCAGACGTGAAAATCGCAGTTAAGGAGGTCCTGAAACCCGATTTCTTTTTTAATTCTCTTGAGTAGGTCACTGGCAAAAGAATCATCATGTCTGAGTAGAATCCTCTTACTTGTAGACTAGTCAGTTTCCTGCAGGACACAACTGTGTTTCTTGAAGCCATTGTGGAGAGCTTCAACTGGACTGGGTCGTTCTTTGTGTGTAAAGCCTTGGCTGTTTCTTAGTATAAAGGTTGTGTCACTCTATGTATCAATGAGTGCATATACAAGAACTTCCCAATCTTGCTCCCCCTACCGTAACATCACAACCCCCTAACCAAATTGTATACTTACTTACTACATATTTACTACCATGTCTTGTCAGCGATCCATGTTCCCTTCCCTTGACCTGACACTGTCCTTTGTTCCATCAAACCTTGTTTACATCCTTTCTTCCTTGGTGCAATTATCGTGGAGACAAGTTGGATGTCCTTTCTCACACATACAGATACTTCTGTTTTTACAATCCTTTGAGCGATGGCCAGACTTCTGACAGCCGAAGCACAACTTCTCCTTTTTTCAACCAACTTGACTCGCTCAGAGATACTCTCATCCATAAATTTACGACACTGTCAGCGAGTTCTTGAAGCTCCACACTGCTTTCGGAGCTTATCTTGGGCCATGTATCAAGCTTGTCTCTAAAGGCCTTGGCAATGAGGAATGGATTGCCATATCTTTCCTCAAGGATAGTCCACTCCACACAATAGGCGGACTCTGTGCCTAGCAGAAAGTAGCTCTCTATGGCCTTCTTGGCAGGTCCACCCCCGTACTTTGTCAGATTATATATCTTTTCTTCAGCTGGTATGTTTTTCCTGTCAATGAGTGTCTGAAAGCAAACCTTCCAGTCATTGAATCTGAATGGGTCGCCAATAAACGTTGGTTCAGGTATGGGAAGACGACTAGCACTGATGGACAAGAGCTGCCATGCTGTTACAGCTTGTGGTGGAGAATGGTGGTGCTGCAACAGGCTGCTTTCATTCTTTACTTTCTTCTTTAGAAACCCGTTGATGGAGAAGCTCATTTATTTCTTAATCTGAGCATTCACTCCTATCATATACATGCTGTTGTGCCTTGGCAGCCTTTAGTTTCTTAATAGTCTCCAGTTGCTTAGCTTAAAGCGCTCTTTTTCTTTCTGCATTTTGGGGGGTTGGGGTGTCCTCTTCTACGGAGGCCACAATGTTGAACTGCCATGTTTCTACAGTAGCCCAGAACAGACAAACCAAACACTGGCTTTGCAATGTAAACTTTGTTCTGTTCTTTCAGATGTTGCAGTTACTGTTAGTGGCATTGTAGTTTTAATTGTTGGAACTGCCTTCGCTGGTCTCTTTTTCATGATCAATGCAAATGCCAGTAAGTCGCACATTTCTTCTCTCTGCATTTCACATAAATGTTTCATGTCTCTAATTCTGACTGATAACTTGTTTTGTGTTGCAGTGATTCGTGGAGCCCAACAGGCCAACCCTGGGGATGATGATGAGGACAATGGTAAGAATATATGCTCAACAGAAACACCAACTAGTAATAAGTCTTTAGTTTTTGATTCAGCTACCGACTGAAAAACCCAACCTTTATTCCATCCACATATTTTTATTTTCACATCCTATTCTCACTTTTCCTCTAAACTCAACCCAGAGTGCTCAAACTACAGAAAACACTCAGTTTGGAAATCACTGACTGATAACTTGTTTTGGGTTGTTGAAATGTGTTCAGGAGGACAATAGAGAGAATATCTTCCAGCGCAGAGGGACAATGCTGAGGACGATGCTGAGGACAATGCTGAGGACAATGCAGAGGAAATAATAAAAAAGAAAAATCTAAATATCTTTGATCAGGTACCTCCAGTAAAACATCCGAGTTAATAAAAAATAACCAACATGCACATTGAGCAAAGATAACTTTATTAACCATTAAATGGATACATTGAGTGTAACTGGGACTATATTGCACCCTGTCTCATTCATTCATTTCATCCAGTTACACAGTGAACTCTCTGGTGTTCCTCAAAAACTGTTTGTCTTTAACAATGTTCTTCTTCAATGCCTGTAGTGTCTCAGAGTGGGCAGTGTGCTCACTGGCACTGAGCTCCGTAAAGCTACGATTCCTGATTAGTTAACTCATTTAACTTATGATTAATCATCATGTGACTTTTTTCTTCATCATTTTCCACCTTACTGGTTATTTGTACCTGTTTCATTTAAAGTTATTTCTCTTCTTGCTGCTTTTATAATGTAGGCAGAGTCAGTTATTCTAATGCGGGGAGCACGTGGTACAGCCAGGTTTTGTTATTAAGGCTACAGCCCACAGAATAATAATAAATGTAAATGTATGTACAGTAAGTAAGTAATTCAAACTGACAATTAAACCATAATCACCCAAAAGCCAGCTGTACACAGTCATTATTTGGTGTATTTTCTAGGATGTGTGCCGACTTTGAACTGCAGTTTAGACAGAGGAGCTTTTTAATGCACTGTAAAATACATATATAGACACACAGGTATATTATTATTATGGTAAAAAAAAAGTGGCAGCTGTGGTGGACAGAACTGGACCGTAATCAATGCGGTAGAACTTGTTCTATTAGTTTTCTATTTGTTTTACTGTTACAGTAAAAGGATATTAGTCCTGTCCAGTTTTAATCCATATTTTACCGTATAAATACAATTCATCAAAAGAAACAATTTTACAGTACATGAATATTATGATGCTGGTTTTCTGTGCAACTTAGTCTGTAACATAAAAAAAGACTTTATTCCATATAAATTCCTTTATATGCTGTATAAATAAAGGTTTGCCATGAGATATCACAGTGTTTTACTGTTACAGAGCATTTAACTTGTTTAGAGTTGCTAGTTTGTAACACAAAATCGACACAAAATGAACCCTGACCTGTAGTCTACTACAGTTTAGTAACACTGAGACGGACGAACTTTCATCCATCACAAGTGCCTTTGAGGTAGTAGTGTGAAGTAGTGTCTCTGGTTGTTCACTCAAAGAACTGAAAATGAGTGAAGGTGCAAAATTTGACCTATGATTTAAAATAGTGCTGAAATGACGTTCAACGTCTTCCTGTTAATAGAAAAGAGTCCAAAGTGCTGCTGCTGATCACGAAAGTCCACAAGAGGCAAGTCGACTTCCTCCAGGATCCAAGATCTGAAGGTCTCACTGCTGCTGATCCAGCTGGTTCACTTGCAGCTGGACCTGCTGCTGGTTTGAATCCCTGAACTGATGAGACAGATCCAAGAGCAGGAAACACTCTCACCTCCATTAACATCAAGGACCAATACACCCTTGAGCAAGGCACCTAGACTGGAGATGGTTTGTTTCAGGCTACGTCATACTCCAGAACCTGGAAGACAATGAACAGAAGTTTAATAATTAGTCAGCTGTCTCCTTAAAAAGTCTGGTATGATTTACACAACAAGGATTTACACTCACTTTCTGTTGTTTCTTGTGTTTAAGTAAATATCCACCGACTCCACCACCCAGGACCAGTAAGACGCAGACAACCACAACGATCAGAGTGCCCAGATGGGAACGACCAGCTGATGTGAAGAAAGCAAACAGAGAGAAAAGTTACAGTGACTGAAATAAACACAAAGTGTGATTCAGTTTCTGACAACACAGAAGATTCTTCACCTCTAACGTTCGTCTCATTGTTTGGATCTGGAGTTTGGAGATCTCTGTCATCCGGCGGTGTCTCTGTCGTCGTTTGAACAGAGTTTGGTTCTGAAAAAACAGATTTATAATGATTCAAAACACAATATCATAAACAGTACAACATTATAGGACGATGGTCAGTTAAGTTCTTCACAAAATCACCCTTTAAATTTTACAGACGTTTAGTTTTTACCTTTGGGCAGAAAATCCAAACAAAGTTCTCGTCTATATTGAGACTGAGTCTACAGCCTTGCAGCCTTTTAATGCAAAGGACCATAAACACTGTGTATCTTTAATGAAACATACGACTTAACAACACAATAAATTCAGCAGCTGTTTGCTTTCGACCCGTAAACCCACATTAAGTTTCAGTCTCGTCCCTCCAAGACCCAAAGTTTGGCCCCTGATGTAAACAACTGCACTCACCTACAACAAGTGTAACAACTGATTCCTTCACTGGGCCCTTTAACTTCGGGATGAAACATCTGTATCTCCCTCCGTCCTCCAGCGTCACGTTCAGGATCTTGAGCGAGATGTCTCCGCTCTTCAGGCCGTCCTTGGAGAGCTCCGTCCTCCCGACGTACGACTGGAGCTTCATGTCCGTGTCTTCCCGACGGTCCCTGTAAAGGTGCACATAGTCGACCCGACTGAGCCGATCTGAGGGGTCGGGCTTCAGGTCGGGCTTCGACCACTCCACCGTCAGCCCCTCCAGGTTTAACGAAGGCTGCAGGCGGCACGGCAGGATGACGTCATTGCCCAGAAAGGCAACGATTGGCTGAAGAGACCCGACCACACGAGGCTGACCTGGACAACAGAGAACATTTAAACCTTAAGATCTGTGTTATGACTGACAGTGCGCTACATGATATAAAGTCACATTGCGATCATTTTGGTAAATACTGAGATTGTTAATTCACAGTTAGTGGGAATGATCATTTTTGCATCATAATTTTAAGTATCTTTAGACATTTTACGTGACACTGACTTTACTTTATCATTTGTATTTGTACTGTGAAAAGAAAATACAGAATAAAGTATTATAGTTTGTGTAACTAAATTAGTGTCAGATTTAAAGCTGTTTCATCAAGACGTTTTTGAACTTACATAAATAAGTTTGTGGTACTTAAAATGTTTGATGTGAGGGGTTTCAATGAGTATTTTGAGTTAAAATAACTCGTCGTATTCCAGTGTAGTAGTGTAACTAATTACTGTTGGCAGGGAGTAATCAGTAAAGTAATAACATTACTTTTTAAAAGAGTAATAAGTTTTGATGTTCTTCTCTCAGCTGAAACCAACCGTCCTGCTCATCAGGAGCGTTACTGACTCTGTCCTGAAGATGTGAATAAAACACAATCTGCTGCAGGTGGACTGATTCTGTGTCAGCGATAAAGGTCAATTTAACACATCATAACATCAAACAGTTTAATGACTGAGTTTGGTATGAACGCCAGCTCAGAGACACGTGGGCAGCATGTGGAGGCTTTAATGTGGGAGTCATCTTCTGTGACTCATAACTCTGATAGTATGAGAAAATATCATATTGTGATTATTTTATTTGGTGATATTGTATCGACTCTCAACAATTCTGTATTGATTTTTGTGTTTAATCCCCCAAAAACACTCGCTATCAGTCAACATATTGATAAAGTTTCTCATTATCTTCAGATGTAAGTCATTATTTCAGATACTAAGTCAATATCTTGAAATATTTTGAGATATTAAGTCATTATTTTTAAGATATTAAGTCATTATTTGAGATATTAAGTCATTATTTTTAAGATATTAAGTCATTATTTGAGATATTAAGTCATTATTTGAGATATTAAGTCATTATTTTTAAGATATTAAGTCATTATTTTTAAGATATTAAGTCATTATTTAAGATATTTAGTCATTATTTGAGATATTAAGTCATTATTTGAGATATTAAGTCATTATTTGAGATATTAAGTCATTATTTTTAAGATATTAAGTCATTATTTTTAAGATATTAAGTCATTATTTAAGATATTTAGTCATTATTTGAGATATTAAGTCATTATTTTTGTTAAAGTTTCTCATTATAATGACTTACAGAATATTTTTTAAATCATATTGGCAGAAATGGGCTTCCATACATCTTATTTGAGTAAAACAAAGGAGGGAAATTTACGACTTAACACTAATTCATTTATTCTGTAACGTTAACACATATCACATCAATATCAGCTGTAGTTCAATAGTTACAACTATCCATGTAAGTGACCTAAACAATGAATGAATGAATAACAGAAACATAGGCTCTTACCTTCACTGGAGGTCCACACTGCTGAACTCAGACACACAATCAGAGTCCACAGAGCGAAAGAGGACCCGACACTCCCGAAGTGAACCATAAAACTACCCGACAGTACCATCGGTAACGTCCTTCAGTCACAGAGACCAGAGACCAGAGAGCAGAACTGGGTTGGTGGGTTGGTGGGCTGGTGGGTAGTTCTGATGTTGGTGACCACGCCCCCCTTTGAGTGAAACAGAGATCACCAAAGAGAAAGTTTAAAACTTCCCACACTAACAATAAACAAAAACTGTGACTAATCTGTGAAATTATTTGTGGTTAAATGTTTGGCTGTTTACAGAACTCTAGTTTACATTGAATTACTTTGACCAATGCCTTACGTATATTTTTATTTATATAATATTATTTTATTTTCTATCTATGTATAGCCTATATTATGTCGCTTTAAGGCAACGTAAGAGACGACGTTAAATACGTCAGGTAGTGTAACGGAAAGTAAACAAAAGGCGACAGTTCACTTCCTCCATCGTACTTGAACGGCGGTCCGACGACAGACACATTCACGCATTCAGCGGACAAAAACTCTTCATCACAGGTTAGTGAATGAATGAATGTTTGCCGATTGTGTCTGTAGATCAGAAAGAATCACAAAAGAGTCTCAGTGATGATGGAAATAAAGTTTGTACTGTAAAAAAATACGATCCTTCCTTAAAACAGCTGTTTTTTGAATGGAGTTTGGTTTGACGGCGCGGAGCAGAGACTATTAATAATAATAATAATAATAGTTACAAAGTAATACAGTATTCTTACCTCAGAACTGCAGTCACGCACAGATTCCCTCTGGAATTGCACTATCCCTCACACTGAAACCCCCGACAGTGTGTGGAAACCCCCCCCAGATGAAACTGGCTCATGTAAAACCCACTCATGTAAAACCCACTCATGTCTCTACAGAATCAGTTTCTGTTTTTAAATGACATTAACTGTAACAGTAGCAGCTCTGTGAGGGGGGAAATATCAGAAAACTCCAATCTTCTCTTCATTATTGGGGATCGATCAGGTCAATGAGGAGATAACGAGCCAATAGGTGATGGGAGTCAGTAAAGCTTTATTTATACAGACTCACAGTTACAAGGTGCGTATTGCATTCACTTGAAAAAATAAAAATAAAAACTCCGGTGTGTTTCGGAGTAATTTGTTCTCTGAATTATCGAGATACTTCGAACTCCCGCGAGAATCTCCAACCTGCAAGTGACTCCAATGGACCTCTGGTGACTGCTGCCCACACATACATACCCCATCATCAACAAGAGTCCACACACTACTGATAATACCATCTATATGACTTAAAGACAGGACTATCTCCCAGAGTCTGAAACCAGATCAAAGTAAAACTGGATTGAACTAAACTTTCTGTTTAATCGAGCTCTCAATAAAGGAATGAATGAGTTTATTGTTTTTAAAAAAAATGACTCCGAAAAACAAACCAAAGTGAATGCAATACTGTGCTTCACAAACCTATAATTAAACATCTATACATAAACAAATGTATACACAATGTTACGATATTCTATGATTTCTACTCATATATATTTACCTGTATGATTATTAACTAGAATAGAAATATGTTTACTTGTGCTGACATTGATAAAGGGCTGTTAAGGGAATACTAATAACAGAAGTAAAGTAATGAATAGAAAAACAATGATAGAACAGAGGACGGACTCCCTCCAGTCGTAAAAAACAACTTCATATCTGGAAGAGAGAGTACAACGTGTAGACATAGGTTTGGTTGATATGCGTATAGGGTTAGATAGCAAGTCCCTGAATGTCAGAAAAGAGGCGGTTTTCTGTTTCTAATTAGTTCCAAGTTGTGGCGACCCCATCAACACCAGATACCAAGAGGACGAGGGGTGGAGATTCTACCATCTGGTGCTATGTGTGTTATCTGCAAAAATATAAGAACTGATGTTAGGAACAAGAGGTGGCTCAGACTTCGTGAACTGGCAGACCTTGTGCATGTCAGGTTAATCGTAGTTGAACCCAGAGCTCTGTTACTTTTGTACAATATACTGGTGTTAAGAATAAAGCTGATTATATCTATCATTAAACGAACGCGAGGAATGAGTGTCTGAAATACAGAGATACCTCAACAACAATCATACACACATAAAAAACATATAAATACTAACAAATGAATGAATAAACAAGAGGAAAAGTTAAAAAAAAGAGATTTAAAATAAGTAAATAAAGTATATAAATGAAGAAATCTGTAAAAAAGGCTTTTAAAGAGCCTCAGATTCAGTTAATCTGATTGATTGATTGATTGATTGATTTATTGATTGATTGGGGAAGATGATTCCAGCATTAGGATGACTCAAACAGTCACAAGACATTGAGGGGATTCCCCCTTTATTATTTTATAGCTTTATTTTCTGTTTATTTTATGAGCTCACGTGAGGCAATAAGAGGCAACATCAGTGAGTCACAGTTTCACCAGTGTGTATTTAAATGGTTCACCTGGTTCACAACCTTTACCCTTAAAGGGACAGTGACATATTTTATATATATAATATTTTTATATTATAACAGAACAAACCCAAACACTGGATGACTAACTGCAGTAAAACTAGATATTAGCATGAATTTGGAGCTGATTTTGAGTTTTTTATTTAAATCATACATTCAGTGTTTTCTTCTTACTGAGGCTTTGACCATTGTTCTCTTCGCTCTTTGGATGTTTCATCACTGTGAATGAGGGAGACCTCAGTGATTCTGGAGGCTTAAATAAAGGTTTTGAATTGAATCACGTACATTTCTAAAGGAGGCTGGTCAGCGTTCAGTGTGGATCTATTTCCCAGCTCGTCTGTGGTCTGTACAGTAAATGAATCAAACCCAGACCCCCGTATGACTAAGTTACTGTAACTGTTGTACCTTGTTTAGAGCAGTAAATAGAGTATATTGTATTCACAGAGTGATAAAAAGGTGCAGGCCCTCTGAAAGGACAGGGTCAGGTTCCAGAGAGGTTTCTGTGTGTGAGTCATACTAAAATAAACGCTAAATAAACATAACATGTGTCAGTGAGTCATCATCACATAGTTGCTCACTGACTGTTTAGACTGTCTCTATATTCAGTGTAGATGATAAATAGTTGGCAGGAGTTCCCTGTGACCGACTTTCAACAAGAAGTAGAATGAGGAAACACCAGTCCGACCGGCTATAAATAGTACACATAAGAACTGTTCATGATGTAATGGAATTACCTAATGTCGTGATCAATAGCTTAATTGTAACTCACATGCTTTATAAGTGAGCTTAACTATTTACATAGAGTACATACAGAGAGTGAAATGATGAATGTGTCATGAAATATGTTTCTTATGACGAACGTCGTCTCTGGATAGTTTAGTCTGTGTTAGATGAGGGTTTTGGTTGTGTAGCGTGAGAGTTCGGTCTTATCGAGGCTCTTTATCTGATGAACTCACTGCACATTATAGTTCTAGTTCCCCACAGAGAGACAGACAGACAGACAGACAGACAGACAGACAGGTACAGTCAGACAGACAGACAGGTACAGTCATTGAACAGCTGGTGACCGCAGTGGAAAAAACATAGCTGACAAAGCAACTGTTGTAAGCTAGGTTTATTTAGCTGCTTTGTCCGTAAGGGACCATTTTCTATCTATCATCATATATTCATCACATATTCATCACATAACAATACCAGGAGACAGCAGCTGTTAAACTGAACAATGAACCCAAACACTGAACACAATAACTGCAGGAAACTCAATACTGCATCATTTTCATCATCATCGTTTTCTTATGTCGTGTCTGTTTTGTGTATTTTCTTTTTTTTTTAACAATCATATATTCGATCTAAGCAAATAAATTCATGTAGTTTACTTCACAGAATTACACAAACTACTCACTGTGTATAGTTTTTGAGTTTCCTTACACCTTGTGACCCCCCATGAAGCTTTGGCGACCCCTAATGGGGGTCCTGACCCAGAGGTTGGGAACCACTAGAGATAACACTGTTTATCTGACAGTGTTTTAAACTCAACCTGACTGATAATATTTCTATAAAGTCTGTATTTTTCTGATTGTGTCCAAATGTTAGGCCTTTTATTTATTCCATCATCTCGTCTATTTTATTATTATTATTGTTGTTGTTTGTGATGGAATATGCTATATCTGTTTCATTGTTAGTATTTATGTTGACTGTTTCTGAAATGTTTCCAATCCTCCTTAAATAAATAAAGTTTATTAATATAATTATTATCATGAGAATTATATTTTAAAGGTCCAGTGTGTAACATCTATTGTCAGAAACTAAATATAATATTAATAGGTCTGTTTTCATTAGTCATCTGAATATGAAAATCATTGTGTTTGATCTTCTTCTGGTGGAGTCCGCCATCTAAAATTCCTGGTTGCGAGATAAAACTTCTAATTAATTGGTTAAGAGAAAGCTACAAACATTATTTTGATAAGTTGTGTTGTTGTGTGAACTGAAATGTTTAGGATTTTTATGAGCGGCCGAATCAACTTAAAAAGTAAAACGTGTTTATGCTTCCAATTATTAAATACTCATTAACACATTTAATTGTAAAGGAAACGCTAATTTCCAGAACACAAGGTAGTACTAATAATCAGTTAATAATCAATAATTAATGACTTTAATTGTCCTTGTAACAATAATCCGGTGGCTGGTAATCATCGTCAGTATTGAAACATCAGTGAAAGCGGGTTCAGTCTCGAGCAGCCTCGTTCTCAAACAAACAAGGAAGCACCTGAGACGAACGGCTTATTATTCTCACCAACGTATAAAACTGAAAACAGATCATTTTAACATCTGCACAGAGTTTTTTGCCGACCAATGTTTATTTCCTTGTTGTTGAAGTGGTTCAGCGTCAGTCTTTCAGCTGCAGGACAGAAAAAACCCTTCAATTCCTGTTCAATGTAAAAACACACGGGACATTGCTGTAGTTTCCTGTCAGGTGTTTTCTGGTTTGATTGTTGAGTAGAAAGTCGGTGCAGCGTCGATGTCTGTGGACGAAGGACACAAAACCTTTAACATTTCATTATTCACAGAGACATATTGTTACTAACAGAAAGAAAAAGCAACACAAAGTGACAGAGTTTTGGGGTTTTTCCTTCATTGGTTGGATG